AATCCCCAGCTCGTCCTCCTTATAGACGTTCCACCCCTCCTCCGTCTTCCGTCTCGGCTCGTTTCCCCTCGAGTCCCTAAACGCGCGTTCCTCCTCATCCAGCTCCGGCTTTTTTCGAGGTTTGGACTTCGTTGTCAGGGATGCGTTGGTGAGGGGATTGGAAGAGAATTTGGGTTTCTTGGAGAGTCGAGGGAGGGAGGGGTCAACGATCGTTTCGGCGGGCCGTTTTAGAGGCTTGGGTTCCGGATTTGGTGTTGTATCAGTCACGACATCTTTGGATGCTTGTTCACTTCCTGCCTTAGCCTCTTCGGCCTTCTTCTGTTTCTTCTTTTTCTTCAGGCCATTGGCAGGACTGGAGGCGGCCGCGAGCCTCGCTGGCTTGCTTGTGCTTGTTCCGGAGGGTAAAACAGGGGGCTGTGAGGCCTTCGATATGGCAGCTTTGCCAGAAAATATGTCGTCTATTTCAGATGGTTTGGGCATCTTCAACATGAGGAACGTCGATGTGTTATGTTAACAGCTGCAATCACACAAGTAAGGAGGACCCTACTACTCATGGAGATTCTCTGTCACCAGGCACAAAAGAGAAAAGTTTGGCCCCAGTGAGATTTGAACTCACCACTTTTAGTGGAGCCCATCACCGCGCACAATATGGGCACGACATGTATCCGGACTTCAGCGACGACGAACCTCCTCAGACGGAGGTGAACCCTGCGAAACGGCCCAGGCAGCCAACTACCGAGTCGGTATGTCGTCCTCCATTCCAACAACACTGCCTCTTGCAGAACAATGGTCGCGTTTCACCCTCACCCTGATTGGAATGCCGTCTGTGACCCGTGCTGACCAGCCTTGCAGAATGCAAGCACCTCCCGTCCCCACAAGAGACCCTCGATCACAGAGGCTTCCCCCGTACGTCCCTGCTCTGACATTGCTTGAACTGCTTCCTGACATCCGTCAGATCATGAATGCCGACGTGGCCCTCTTCGCTCAACAATCGGAGCCTGAGGTTGTCGAGGTGCAGGCACCCGGCAAGGCCAAAGCCATGCCCGACAAGGGCAAGGCTCGCGCGGTCTCTCCTGCGAGGCGCGCAGAGGTGATGCCCCCACCTCCCGTTCCGAAACGGGGAAGAAAGGGACGTCCTCGCAAGGATGCCGCACCCGTCACGCCTGCCTCCAAGGCCTCCAAGGCCACTCTGATGAGCGGCGTCACCAAGCGGGTTGGGGGGGGCAGGGTTGTCGCGACATTTGACGTGAGTAGGGTTCTTGCAAGTCATGTCCGCAGCTCATCGCATTCAGCATTGTGTAATGCGCGAAAACCTTCGCCTTGCCATCCATACGGGCGATGTCATCTATGCCCGTAACCTCGCAAAGTGGGCACAGATGGTTGGCGTCTCCGCGGTGCACACCTCCTTCCCCCCGCCATTTGCCACTCGCTATTTTCAAGACCCCACGCGTGCCTCCCTCGACGCTGCCTACCACCACGTCATGCAGCTTGCCGGTATCCCGATCCCCATGTCTCTTCCACCCGACAGCGACACGGGCGAAGTTGACGATATGGCCAATCCGAACACCGCCTCAGAGGATGAGGAAGATGATGATGAGCCATTGCTGTTCGCTGAGTAAGAAATAGTGTAGCCAGGTTTGATGAAACACTGAAATGAATACGCCGTCTCCATGAATGGGATCACGGATCACGTTCGCTGCGATTATGCGCCTGCAATGTCAGAACGGCGTGCACCTTCTCCGTTTCATCCTGAAGACTTGCACCGGGCTAGCCCTCGAACGAGTCGCAGAACAGAAATAATCATCGACAATCGTCCGACGGACATGGCGGGATCGTGTCTCGTGATGTTTCCTCTTCAAGCATTATTGCTCTCGACGGCGTGCTCGTCAATTTCCTCGAGAACGGTGTTGATGAACTTAATCAGCGATTATTTCTTCCGAAGAAAGAAATGCGATCATCGCCACCCAACCTTGTAAGCCGTGCCTACCTTGTTCTTGCGAACCCTCAAATGGCGGGGCACGGCAGTTTCATACACATTTGCACATACATAGAGTACACTCGGTGAGCATCAAGAATAAAAGATGGCACATATATACACCTAGCGTGCACATTGTCCAACATTACACAGCTCAGCTACTCGGGTCGAGTTGATTCTTCGACTAGCTCATCCTTCTAAACTCCGTGCCATCGCGGGCTGGGGCATGAACCAACCCGTCCTCCCTGACGGGTCCGTGATAAGTATAGGGCTCGTAGGCATCTCCGCCCCGTCAGGGATGATAAGTTCGGGTGTGCCATCTGGGCTGAACATGATAGTGACTTGGAGTTGTGGCCGAGAAGCACGGAGTCGAGGACGATACGCGCGCGGTGATTTAGGAGGAAGCGCAGGAGCAGGAGCGGGAATAGAGATTACGCTCCGCGGGCGGTTGGGAACAGGGGAACGGGAGGAGAGATGCGCAGGAGGACGGTACTCTGATGGACCGACCGTCCCGGTTGGGGTAGGTTGGGTTGGGGCGGTAGGGGCACCTCCATAGCCAGGAGACGAATACCCATATGTGTCGGGTTCTGTCCAACCGGCGTAGGTGTCCATCGGCCTAGGTGGGACATTCGGATCCCGCCGCGGCCCATAATTACTCTGGCTGACGGTGGCCATGCTGGCTCTTTTCTCGTTCTGACCAGGGTAGGTATACCAGCTCGCCACACCGCTACCCTGGGCTTCCGTCTCGGGTATTTCATACCGCGCGTCTAGGCCGCCTTTGTTTCCCGGTACGTACTGCACCGTCTGGAACGGTTGTTGGATCCACGGATAGCGCGAAACGTTCTCGATCACGTGTGCGATCTTTTCTGACGTTGAGGCACCGGGAGGGAGACGAGAGATAAAGTATTGCTGGTAGTCCCGACCGTCTGCATCGCGGTGTCGTTGTTCGCGTTGGAAAGGCGGGAGGAAATAGGACAAGGGCCGGGCAGCGTGTGGAATGCGGGTCCAGTTGAGCGGGAGAGACTGGGGAGAGCCAGCAACAGACGGAGCAGCACTAGCTGCTACCGAGGCGGAGGTCTGGTGCGTACGCCGAGAGAGGCGAGAAATCCGGGAGACAGGGCGAGATGGTTGGGGGGAGGGATTGGCGGACACAGTGGAGGAGGGCGCAATGACTTGTAGGGTGGGGACCTGGGAGGCTGGGGGTTGGGAAACCGGCACGCCGGACTGGTATGCATAGTCTGCTATGAGAGGCTCGCGCTGTATAGACGGGGCGGCGTTTGGTGGGGCCTCAGGACTCGGAGGAGTGGAGACGATGATAGGTAGGATTGGCGCAGGTGTGAGTGCCTCGGAGCGACGGGATCTTCCAGATCGACCAGAGCGGCGACTCTGTGGGCTAAGAGGCGGGGAGAGGGGGATATCTGGGGCGACGTGAACAACCCTCCTGATTGGCTGGGGTGGAGTAGGTGGCATCCCCACATCCCGATCCATAGCTCGCTCCAACTCACGGTCATACTCCCCACGAGAGGCATAGGATTGGCGTGACCTCGAGCGCGGAGACTGGTAGGAGCGATGTGAACGGTATGAACGGTGCGACCGAGGAGAGAGAGCTGCATCTGGCTCGGGCATTGGAAACGTCCCTTCCAACCCGCCGCCGTCGCCCGCCACTCCGGGGGGGTAGCCGGAAGCTGGAGGCGCTCCGTACGGGGTGTGCCCCAGGCTAGAATCCTCCTGACCGGCAGCACTGTGCCGAAGATATTGGCGGCGGTATTCGCCTTCTTGTGGTGGGGAGGGGTCAAGCGGCAGCGGAGGAGGGTTTACAGGTATCTCTGATGGGGGCACAAAAGAGATTCCCCCTCCCGGGTGAGGCATGACGACTGGGGTGGGCATGTGGGGCATTGCTAGAAGGTCTGGGACGCGCGTCGCAGCGTCGTACGCAGCTTCCTCGGCCGCATCTGCAGCCGCGTCGGCGTCCTCCTCATCTTGGTAATCGTCTGTTCTCTCTCTCCGCATGCGTGGTGCACCAAAAAGGAATGCTCGAAGGAAACCGCCGTTTCCAGAGCCTTGAGATCCCCGCCGACGTACGCCGACGACATCTGGCTCTCCTGGAGCAGACTGAGTTGCAGCAGGATGCTCGCCTCTTGGGAGACGGAAAGCAACTGGACGGGAAACAGTGCGGAATAGCTTTCCGGTAGCTTGACGCCCACGCTTGAGGATAGAGCGGGATGGACGAGAGGTTCGATGGGTTGTGCTGATTGGCACTGATGGATATGTGTTAGTGGGAGCGGAGAGTGTATGAAGAGGGCGTACCTGATATCTCAGAGTCGTTGTCGTCGATGTCAGCCATCCTAGTCTAGTAAACAAACACCTCGGAGGGTAGATGTATGCGCCTAGTGAGCAGTGACAGCCAGCAAAGCAGTCAAGCAGGAAGTAACGAAGAGAGTAAAACAGATGGCCATGAGATGACGGCAGACCATTCATTACATTCATGTTGGTGGCTGTGTTTCCCCTATTTAGCACCAAGATTGCAGCACATCGGGATCCGAAAAGAGTAATATTAATACAGAATTATAGTATTGCCAGCCAGGAGCTTTGCATCTAAGGGTGATCTGACACACAAAAGAGAAAAAAGTTGCTCCCTGCCAGGATCGAACTGGCGACCTTCGGATTTTTTCGGATCACCCTCCATGAGGGTCATAAACCGGGTTATGAGACCGACGAGATAAACCAACTACACCAAGGAAGCTGAGACATAAAACTGTTCGTGACACTATAACTTGATCTGACTCTCCCCGAGGTGCTGCAAGTTGGTGCTAAGGGATGGCGCAACACAGCAACATGAATGTTCGATCCTGGCAGGGAGCAACTCTTTTCTCTGTTGCGTGGAGACACTGCCACAGAGAATCTCCATGTGCACCCTCCGGAACAAGCACAAGCAAGCCAGCGAGGCTCGCGGCCGCCTCCAGTCCTGCCAATGGCCTGAAGAAAAAGAAGAAACAGAAGAAGGCCGAAGAGGCTAAGGCAGGAAGTGAACAAGCATCCAAAGATGTCGTGACTGATACAACACCAAATCCGGAACCCAAGCCTCTAAAACGGCCCGCCGAAACGATCGTTGACCCCTCCCTCCCTCGACTCTCCAAGAAACCCAAATTCTCTTCCAATCCCCTCACCAACGCATCCCTGACAACGAAGTCCAAACCTCGAAAAAAGCCGGAGCTGGATGAGGAGGAACGCGCGTTTAGGGACTCGAGGGGAAACGAGCCGAGACGGAAGACGGAGGAGGGGTGGAACGTCTATAAGGAGGACGAGCTGGGGATTGGCAAAGAGGGAGGTGGTGGGTACTT